CCCCGACAACTATATTTGGTTGGCCGGTAAAACGTATAGTCGGGAGGGTCCACTTATATTTCCCTGCAGCTGTCATATTGACCTTGACTATGTTTATTCATGCTAAACGCTCACTCGGTCATGGCCGGAGATCCATTACGCGTGCATTGCAAAAGAGCGCTGATATAACCATCGAGACAATCCGCGAAACGTATGAATATTTTTAATCCGTTACTTTTTGCCACGAGTGCCCGATAACTGGACCGATAAAATACCAGATAAATAATGAAGTGGCTGTCGTTGATTAAATTGTAACGCTTTTATCTACTAGACGACGATTTCAATCATCTTTCAAGTATTATATTTAGAACTATAACGCTTTTATGGTCGTTTCGTGCAACGTGGGATGCTTAGCCAGGGAAAAATTTTAATGGAAGATTCTAGAGGCCAAAGTAAGACGAAAATCAAGAATACTAATTTGTTGATGGAGGTTTCGTTAAAAAGTTATTAATGTTTAAAGTCCCGACAGTACTGAATTTTTTTCTAGAAACTGGGTAGGATTTCGAGGGTATGTCTATTCACTAAAAATGATTATAATTGACCACTGTATACGAAAATATTTTTTCCAGATCGATTTAAAATTTTTTAATTTTGTCGAAAATTTGTCCATCTTCCTGAATTTTTTTCTCGAAAGTGTGAAGGATTTCGAAGGTATATGATTTCACCAAAAATGATTGTAATTGACCCCTGTAGACGAAAATATTTTTTTTAGAACGATTTGAAACTTTTAAATTTCGCCGAAAAATTTCAGGGGAAGAGGTCAACGCCTGGTCAGACATCTTCAGTAATTAATTTTTTTCTCGAAATTGGGTAGGATTTCAGGGGTATGTCTATTCACCAAAAATGATTGCTATTGACTCCTGCAGACGACAATATTTTTTCCAGAACGATTTGAAATTTTTCAATTTTGGCGAAAATTTGTCCATCTTCATGAATTTTTTTCTCGAAAATACGAAGGAATTCGGGGATATGTGTAATGACGAAAAATAATTGTAATTGACCCCTGTAACTAAATATAATTTTTCCAGAACGATTTGAAAAATTTTTTTTTCGCCAAAAAATTCCACATCTACTCGAATTTTTTTCTCGAAATTGAGTAGGATTTCAGGGGTATGTCTATTCACCAAAAATGATTGCTATTGACTCCTGCAGACGACAATATTTTTTCCAGAACGATTTGAAATTTTTCAATTTTGGCGAAAATTTGTCCATCTTCATGAATTTTTTTCTCGAAAATACGAAGGAATTCGGGGATATGTGTAATGACGAAAAATAATTGTAATTGACCCCTGTAACTAAATATAATTTTTCCAGAACGATTTGAAAAATTTTTTTTTCGCCAAAAAATTCCACATCTACTCGAATTTTTTTCTCGAAATTGAGTAGGATTTCAGGGGTATGCCTAATCACCGAAAATGATTGTAATTGACCCCACGGCCCAAAAATAATTTTTCCAGAACGATTTGAAATATTTTAATTTAATTTTTTAATAACATTTTAACGAAGCCTCAGTCAAGAAATTGATATTCCTGATTTTCGTCTTATTTTCCATAAAAATTTTTCCCATGGGTAGCTGAACACCCTCTGTAGTGTGTAAATTGACGTAAAAATGAAACACGCATGACCTGGCATCTAAATATAATACCTTCCCTATACACACGCGTGTTACACAGATGCAATCGATAATTGATCAAAGAAAAGGTTTTCGTGGGCTTATCAGTGGTCGCGTTTCGTGCAATCTCTTTTTCCGGGATACCGAGGGTAGGTGTAATAGTGGGCGTTTCAAATGTGTTCTGGTTTAGTGAAGCGCACGCGCCTCTTTCGGTCAGCTGATTCCCTAGACCTACTTTTTGCCCGATGATGCAGGCTACAAATAGGTATAAACTCGGATGCGCGTGTGTATAAATGGGTACACCGCGTAGTGCTCGTGGTACCGTGCACGTATGTGTACCTACGTGCAAGTACGTAGGAGGCTCTCTGCCCTAAATCATGCTCTCCGCTCGAGGTCATTCTTTGGACCCTTCGAAGACCACAATTTAGAACACGTTTCGAACAAACGAACTACTCAATTACGAATCGAGCAAACTTCTTATTTAAAAAAAGAAAAAACTATTACAGAGAAAAACAAATTTCATAACAAAATGACCCGCCCCTAGATAATAAAATAATTAAATAACACTATCGAACGTATCAGTGCACTCGTGAAACACAAATATGCAAACCGAGTTTTGACAGAAACTGTTACGTAAACACGAGAAGACTGAAAGTTTTTTTTTCGAGTCTCGAAACTGTCAGATATGGTGAACGAGATCTCCGTCAGAACGCGACAATTCTAAAACGTTCCTATCGACATTTTTCTATAACGGTTACGATTTGGAAGAGTCCAAACGTTTTCAAGGCCTATATACGCGCCAAGTTCGTTCAACGCGATCCGTTTCGTAGGATTCCGAAGCAACGATCGTCGCGTGTCGTGCACAAAAGCGCGGCACTTTTAGTTGTCACTTTCATTGATCATACGTTTGCTATTTAAGCGATCTACCGTGAAACGATTCGAACTATCGCGACTATGAATTCTTACGACTCGAACGAGAAGGTCGACGTACGAGAAATTTGGATACACGATCGACGTACGCGTTTCTACGTACCTGTGCGGATTTTATTCAATTCCTAATTCCTCGCGAGGAGGCGAACGCGTGAACGGTCCGTGCTTGACTGCAAACTGTTCTATACTGGTTCGAGGCGCTTCGTGCAGTGTTCCGCGGAGCACGACGAAATGCACTCGTGCGACAAGGGACAGAGACAAGAAGCAAGATAGAAACAGAAGGAGACAAAGAGAGATGCAGCGAGGCTACTTGCTTCTCGCTCTGGTCTGAGCGTTGGATGTGGAAGTGGGTACACATCGCGCGATCGTTTCGACGATGAGGGGAGGTGGTGGGGGATGCTCGTTTTCTTGGTTATGTACCGCCAGCGCCGGCGCTGCATCGACCCATCAACGTTTCCACCGATGCGTTTTCGCTTAAAACGTTCCTTCAAAGTGTCTACCCGGTTCTCTCGTTTTTAAAATGTTCACGTACATTGTCACTTCGTCTAATAACCTTTCGAGGCCATTTTTATCCGACTGATACGTTTGCACTGCCAGAGCTACAAAGCGCCTCGATGCAGTTTCGTGGGCGGTCCTTTCAACTTGAATTATTTTCCTTGAATTTAACTCCCGAAAACTGGTAAATAAAAATCACTTTGTATGGAAAATTACACTTAAATAAGAATTTTCTTTTGTTAAATTATCGATGCACTCTGATGCAATTTCATAGGTGGTCCATTTAACCTATTTTCCTTGTTTTTAACCTCGAAAATTAGTAACTAAAAATCAATTTCTATGGAAAATTACGCTTAAATAAGAGTTACTTTTCGATGCCCCCCGATGGGGTACATCGTCAGCCGCTCCTGTCAGCGCGTACATAGATTAGCATATTGTTTCGCAAACCTTTTCTAACACACGTGGATCCACTTTAATGGATATTTCGAAACACGATCGCGGTCAAGGCAATGTCGTCTGCTTCAGCGACAATAAATGATAAAAGAATATGTCGTAAAGCGCGATACTGCATATTTTTCAAGTAGTTTCTTCTACTGGACAATGAACGTGGTTAATTCTACAAGAATAAAATTATTACTTTAGCGTTATATAAGGTGTCCAGCTACTCCCGGGAAAAATTGTAATGGGAGATTTTGGGGGCCAAAATAAGACGAAAATGAAGAATAGTAATTTTTTAATTGAGGCTTCGTTCAAAAGTTATTAACGTTTAAAGTTAAAGTGTGCAGCTCACGCGGTTCCCTTCTCACATGTGCAACTTTAAACGTTAATAACTTTTTAACGAAGCCTCAATTAAAAAATTACTATTCTTCATTTTCGTCTTATTTTGGCCTCTAGAATCTTCCACAGTAGTGCCCACTTAAATGACCGGTCGCGGTCACTTAAGTGGGCATTACTGTGGGGGATTCTAGAAGTCAAAATAAGACGAAAATCAAGAATACCAATTTTTCGTTTGAGGCTTCGTTAACAAGTTATTAACACTTGCGCCTGAATTGTGCGCAGGTTGCCTATCTTCAGGCGCAACTGTTAATAACTTTTAAACGAAGCCTCAATTAAAAAATTACTATTCTTCATTTTCGTCTTATTTTGGCCCCTAGAATCCCCCACTACAATTTTTTCCAGGAATGGCCAAACACCCTCTATATTAAAAATATAAAGCACAATACACTTACCTTTTGCCACTAGTCCACCATACCATAGAACTTCGACTTCCATGTGGGGAGTTTGAGGTTGATTTTAACAATGCAAACGAATCGTCAGTTTCTTGCGAATCTTGTGTATAACACTTCTTACTAGGTAATTGCCAATATTTTGTAGACGAACTATGAACAGGACTCTTCGGAGCTCCAGAACTAAAAACTCGAATAAATTGAACACTCAAAGAGTTGTTCTTCATTCTAGTTACAAAGTTACTATCACTAGACACCGGTGTTTCGAGAGAATCCGAATTATTTTTCATTTTGACTCCTGATAACCGAACACGACTTCGCGAACTACCGAATCGAACTAAGTTTCTGCTAAAAAAAGTTAAAGAAAACCACGCCTAAGACGCGACTTCCTGGCATTTTTAACCGCATCCTTCCTCATTTCTTATCGGGTCTATGTGGGATCGACTAAACTAATTCCAACAGTAAATTTTCACGTTCAAACATTTCAAACAAACGTTTAACCAATTTATTTTATTTTCATACACACATTAAATTTGTCATTAAACCTTTTACTACGAGTAATGGAGAATTTTTCACAAATAATGAAAACTAATTTGAGCATTCAATTATTTTAAAACGTAATACTTGTTTCTTTGTACTTCATTATTGCCTCGAGTTTTTTAACGAATTTTCGTTCGACGTAGAAAGAAATAATAGTATTACAAATTTACTGTTAAATCTGTATTTTCAGGTTGTTGTGTTACAGATCGGAAATCTGTTTCTAACAGCATGTGATCACAAATAAATATAGTGCACCGTCCACGCATGGCTCAGCCATCACGAGAGAGCACCAGAATATCTTTAACGATGAAGGGGAAAAACTAGTTATAGCCAGTTCTAGCCTGACTCTTGTCAATACATGTAATTACATGATATACCTACTTATAATCGATAACAACAATTTGTTACTATTCAGACTTCACAAACACTTGAGTACCAGATAGGGGAGTTTTAATGAATGAGTCGAGTCAGATGTAGCGCGATGTCCATGAGGTTTAAGATGATAATAGTACTAGGTTCCTCTACGACACCCGCTCGATACGTCTAGCGTGTCTTGCCATCTTTAACAGGTGTTAAGCTTACTTCGAAGCTTGCTCTATATACGCGATTAGATCAGCTCGTTCTTGTGGTTTCTTCAAACCGGCAAACACCATTTTCGTACCAGGAATGTACTTCTTTGGGTTCTCCAGGTATTCGAACAACGTATCCTTGTTCCAAGTGATGCCTGAAACGACAAACAGTGTAGCGGAACAGTCACAGAAATAAATATGTTTCAAAGAAGAAATACCTTTTGCTTTGTTGGCATCCGTGTAACTGTAACCCGGTGCTTGACCAGTTTTCCTACCGATTATTCCATGTAAATTGGGCCCTACCTTGTGTTTGCCGCCAGCTTCGATGGTGTGGCACTGAGAACATCTTTGTACGAAAAGCTAAAAGGAAAAAAGATTGAAGCACACGTTTTATGATTATCATCGTAGAGCAGAGGTTTAAATGAAACGATACAGTTATCAAGAAATTGATAAATGATTCTTCTTCCGCGTATTACGTATCACGTGTTATCTCGTGGACACCGAAATTCTAGTTTCGCGCGCGTTCGTAGATAAATTTGATAACGATAATTTCAATCATTTTTTAACACTTACCTTCTTTCCTTTCTCCGTATCTCCGGCGGGGACACCCATTGTGATTTAATCTACAAAACGATTCGAAAACGTAAAGTGAAATGCAATGCCATTTGCATGCAACTGTGTCCCGATCGTTGCGTTTAAAAATTCGTAAATTTCCGATAATTCCAATTCGCGTTTCTTTTGTTACATAAGCGCGAGAAACACGTGAACAAACTCTCGTGTTTCGTAATATCGTTACACAAGAAATTTACATGTGTGCGCAGATATGAATAACACGTTGTTAAATTGTTTCAACGAGAAAATGTAACACCAATGAATCAGAGAACGCGTTGCACTGATAACGGGAATACTTTATGCTTCTCGATCTGCACGTGTCGGAATGTGAACGACAGAAATACGAAATAATTTACGACCACTGTTGAATTAATGATTTATGCCCCGAAAGGTGTTCAAACACGTAATAAACATTGTGGTTTTTGTTTAATATAAATATGCACTTCTAACACTGTCACCGTGACACTGATGCAACCATCGCGTATTTAGAGGTCAAACAAACTAACACGTCTATATACAACAGTATAGATCATAATCTAATCTAATCTAGCTGAAAAATTTATTTGAAAAATATCTTGCACTTTATGGCGTTGAAAAAGGAATTTTTTAAATCTGTTGAAATATAGAAGTACACTTAAGTTAATAATAATGACGAATGAGACATTTTTTAAACATTGTGTAAAATCATGCAATACTTTGTAATAATATTGAAAAGAAATACGTCAAAAGGCGTGTTCCTTAAAATCGAAAAAAAACGTGTGCATAATAAAGGCGTGTTCCTTAAAATGTACGCACAAAGATGCAGTTTTTATTGAAACTTATTAATATTAAACTCTTAGATTTATACTTAGAATATTTGCATTTTAAATAATAGAATTTAATTTCTCATTGACGAAAGTGTAATAATAGAGCACTGGCTCAAGGATAGTCGTATTACGTAACGCTTAACACTATACATTTGAATGAAAAACGTGAACGATCAAATAGAAATTTAATTGAAGAAATGCGCAATATTAAATATGGGTTCCCAAAGATCGTGACTCGATTGCACGTGCTGGAAACGCCATGCACACTTAAAATTCGCAACTATGCGATTTGAAAATTCACGCAAATTGAATAAACTCTGCCGCGACAATGACGAAAACAACGAGCAGGTTGATCGATAATTTCGGCCGTGTTAAATGAAAAGAAAAATTAGAAATAAAAGAAAATCGTTCTTACCTAATTTGAGTCACACTCGCGCGAGCAGAGTATTATCGCAGACGTCTGCAGACCGACCGTGAATAGATGCTTCGATCGATGCGTAACCACTGACTTCCTCTGGGCTTAAATTCACGGTATTTCAATGGCTGACGTAACACTCGCGAAATACTAGTAAACAGTTTGCCCAGGTGGCGCTCGGGTTGGAATTCTTTCAGCGATTGGCGAAACAATTCCCGCGAAATTTAAACCTAGTTCAAAATAACCTCTCTCTACCAAACGATTATTAATTAACAAAGAAATAAAGTCGCACGTTACTCATTATATGAAACTATACTTTTATTATTCTGCGCAATTAAAACATAAGTATAGTGTGAATTGTAACATAGTAAATAAGATTATGCCGTCAGCGCCTCTATCGGCAAGTGATGGGTACTAAATTGAACTATATCGACTTTCTTGTATAGCTATAGTCTATGACGCACGCGATGCATGCATTAAAACAGCAACGAATACACAATGAAATTTTCCTTCCTTTTATCTCGCTAAAAGAAAGAGAAAAGTCATGGTAAATGTCACGAAAGGAATATTGGTCGAATGGTACGTATATTGATCACGAACCATGTCGCTTTTCTATTCTTTATAATCTAAATCGTTGGGAATGTTAAACTGTTTGTTCAATGTCTGTTCCGAAATGTCAAATTTATTTTTGCACCAGCTTTGAATCGCAAAAATATTGTCCGTCCATACGTTGGCGGCGTCTTTATATTCCTAAAAAACAATATATGCAAATATGATCTGCGTAAATTTTGCACTCGATCTGATCCTATACCTGTGCTTTTTCTTCGAGCTTAGCTATAACTTCCGGGTCCGCGTTGCTAAATTTAGCGATTTGCTTTTTCAACTGATCCTCCTTCGACTTTAATTCTTCTAATTCTTGCAACAAAAGTTGCCTCTCTTCCGTATCTTCTTTTCCTATCTTGTTGTTTCAAAAGTAACATAAATTAAATAATCTTTTATAATGTAACATTCTTCCATCCATTACCTTTTCTTTTGCGCAAGCTTGCTTTAACTTTTCTAGTTTAAATTCTGCCTCTACTATCTTTTTAGAAGCTTCGGATATTCTTTGCTCTATTGCAGTAATATTTTCTCTACGTAATATATTCATTTATTATTTAATCCATAAAATAATGCTAATAATACAGTTTGTTCTTACCCAGGAAAAGTCCAAAAATATACGGAAGTACCAATTTTTTCTGATCTAACCAATCCGTCATCTACCAACGCTTGAAGTACATCTTTCACAGATTGCACTACAATGCCTTTTTCTTTAGATGCAATTTTTTCAACTTCCTTTAAAGTAAAGAATTCCCTTTTCTCGTAAAATATTTGAAGCATTCTCATACGTTTCTCATCGAGGGACACTCCTTTCCTTCTCGACATTTTGCCTACATAATTACAACAAAATATAACGTCTATGTTCGCAGTGACGCAGCTATGAAAGAATTTCTTTTACATCTGGACGAGACTTTCGCTTTGGGAAGAAAATTTATAATTCAAGATCTGGACGAAAGACACTTGTTCATCTCCATCGATATCTTGGACACTCTACAAGCGAAAGTAGACGATCTTATGGATCAAATATCGTTTCCTCTAGCAGAGAAAGGAATCTAAATAATTAAATATGGCTGCGCGAGAATCTGGTAGGATAAAAGACGCGTATCAAAAACGAGTGCTCGACGATGCAGCGCGCAGACGCAGGCAAAAGAAAGCGTTGGAAGCTTTGGAACAAGATAACTTTCACGATGATCCGCACGCAGATCTAGGTTTGTACTACAAACACTTTACATTTACGTTATATAAGGATATGCAAAACTGTTTCAGTAATGAGCAAGAAAGTTCCAAAGTTCCAAGAGACTCTAGACAACAGAGGCGGCAGAAGGAAGAAAACTAGATCAGCCGAATATTACAAGCAACGTTTTCGCAAAACGTTTGCTCAATTGGTGGAAGAGGATCTCAGCATTAACCCAAATTCCCCTAACTACGTTTCTGCTCAAGCACCGCCATCGCGTTTCCCCGAAAGACAGTTCTGTGCAGTTTGCGGTTTCCCTAGCAACTATACGTGTATCCCGTGTGGTGCTAAATATTGCAGCATGAAATGCTTGGGCACTCATCTAGACACGAGGTGTTTAAAATGGACGGCTTAATTTTTTATAGATAATAAGATACTAGGTATTAATCATACACTTTATGAATTACATTTCTTCCATTGTAAATATATCGGTACTAATAACAGTAAGGAAAAGAATATACTGAATAAAGTTTGTTATTTTTATAGCAATTTGCGTCCTTGTCATACTAAAGACCTTTTACGTTAAGAAAATATTTTTATCGAATGTTTTTAAACGTACCTATTACTGCGCAGGTTTGGAAGTTCCTAAATCTTTTACACAACGCGAACACTAAATGTATCTTATTTGTAGTGTTATGTATACAATTCTATACGAGTTTCTAACGTATGCTATGTTTGATAGTTCTTAATCAGAAATGTATATAGGTTATGACGCGGACCAGTGAAAGAACGAAACGAAAGAGACCTGAAAGGGCCACCTGTCAAAGCATGCAATTCCGGCCAACGAACTAACGTGCGTACGTGCCTGAAAACGAGGCGGAGACGATTTTCATTTCATAAAAACAACATTGGCCCTCTGGCGGAACGTGGACGAAACGTTGTGGTGTGACGAAAGAGATAGCAATAGAAAAGTAGAAAGACGTCTAGTGGAAGGACGTGAGATCGTTCAGAATTATGTGAAGTTTAAACTCGTGAACGTAATCTTTGCTACGCCTTATGCTCCGGACGGTTTCGAACGAAATTATCCACGTGAAAGTGTTACGTATTTGAACACACTGTATTGTGTTGTGAAGGGACTGGTTATCGTATAGGTTATAATAATACATAGACATGTAAAATGTCATAGATGTAATATTTGTAAAAGAAGAGTGGCTAATAAATTATTCTCCTGTTATTTCCAATAAATGTACGTATCGCCTCGTATGAGTTGCATTCTATGATTCTTTCGATTGTTGAAAAAGTCGATTCCTAAGAACGTTACGAGTATCCTCGTCTTGACTAATCTACGTACATGTTAGTACCTCATAGACGTACCTAATCGGTCAGAGAATCGTTTCGGTTTAATTCAATTCTTCCAGTACTGTCCTTTTCAATATTGCATATTCAAAAGACCAACAAATAACACAGATTTGTTGGTAAAAGCGCGAATTTAGAACATTCAATCTCCGCAAGCACGTTCTGCCCTCTGTCGAGATAGACGAGTATCTTAAACGTGATATTTGAAAATATTTGCGGGAAATGGTCCCTCCAATTTCTTTTGCCTTTCGATTGTTTGTCTATCGAGAAATAACAGCGATACGAGTATTAATCAGTGTGATGTGAATTTACCTGTGATACAATTAATGCAAAGTTAAACAATGCGGATGCACGAGCGGAAAGGAATAATCGAAGGTAAAATTTTCATAAACGGCGCATCTATTTATTTTTCACCGAATGACGACGAGAATCTTACAAAGCTTCAGAATATTTTATCGTCACGGATCCTTTAATTTTTATCATTGAAAATTCGGAATTCTGTTCGACCACTAACGTATCACAAAATATCACACGCATCGTTTCGAAGCGTCTTTTGGAAATATATCCCCGATAATGTAACGTTATCGTAACGCGACAGTACAATGCAATATTTTTCTGATTCGTCTCGTGTTTCCTCATCAACTGACGTTTGTGTTTGTAGACGGGAATAAAACGGCCGAAGATAATTAGAATAAGCCTCCATGTGTAACCGTCGGTGGCAGAGGTGGAATTCACAGCGAAGATAAGATCTTTGCGAAGCCGTGCAACACTTTAATTGCTGAAGTTAATTGCCGCGCGCCGCTCAGTGCAATAACAATGACGACCTTAGACTCGCAGGCTGATAAAACTTTATGTCATCTCGATAAGGTCTCGAGCACGGAGCTGGCGGAAATTTCGTCCGATTCTGGGATTCACGATGGTCTGAGCCCGTTGGAGAATCAGGTGGCCGGACATCCGTTCGACGACAAACGACGCACGATCGGTGAGCATCGATTCAAATGCTTCGATAGATCGATCGAAAATCCATTCCAACAAAACGTTTCGAAATCTAGCGATCAGAGAAATAACAATGCAAAATATTATTTTTGACATTTTTTCATTTTCGTTACAAAATTGATCAAATTTTATTTCAATTAAAATTGTATTTAAAAAAATTAAATAAAACGTTTATTGAAATGGCATTTCAAACGATATTATTTTACGAACGTCTCGGTTTTAACAACGAGAGATAACTGGTTTTTTATTAACGTTAATCCTAGTTACACAGAATGAGTCATGCTTTTCCGGTTTACAGTGTGATAAATTTTAATGCTGTAAAACGATAACACTTTTATTCTTAAGATCTATTGATCGAATTCTGGATTAATTGTGTGTTGACGAGGAATTTTTTATTTACGTTATTATAAGTGATAATAACCGTGTTTAATTGTGTACGTCATTATGAGGTCTCTAAAAAATGGCGTATAATTGACTTTTAACGAATGCAGAAGAAATGCACGCAAAGTAGTCAGCTTATATAGAGAATGATACCCAAATAGAGCCTGTCCTTGCACCGAGAACCTTTTATAAGATCGTAGACTTTGTATGTCGAGGTCAATTTCCAGATGGACGCACAAACGTCTACCATTCTTCGACGAGAAGAAGGCACTGCGTGTTTTTACATCCCCACTCCTGTTGCTGTCCGCTGACTGACAGCTATTGGTCGGGAACGATCGGTGAGAGCCAATCAGCGGACAGCAGCAAGAGTGGGGATGCTAACACGCTGTGTCTTCTTCTCGTGGAAGAACGATACTATTATTTGCGTTGCAGAAAATGCGTTATACTTTAAACAATTTCTAAATATGCACCAAACATTATGCATTCCAAATAATCACGAAAAATACTATAAATTGTAAATAAAGTTTTCATGCTCCAACATTTCTCAGCAAATAAAAATATCATTTGAAACTAATCCTGTTTTAAATCACAATTTACATTTCACAAACTCTAACACTAATTCTAATTCTAACCTCTTTTTTCGTAATTCATTTCCTGAACAATTCGTCCTCTACTGGTGCACAGTGACTCACAGATTTGTTCAAATAAGGTTAATATATTCGCTCGTCGAGGTCACGTGCCTTTTTTACGTCCAACAATTAAAAAAACCGGTATCGATAGCTTGCCATTACGTTCTCAAACGAAATTTATTCATAAATTGATATTATAAATAAATCTACGAGTCACCGTGTTTAGATTGTATAAATATCATAAAAAGTTGATTGTTTAAAATGTTACAGGCATGTTACGTAGACCTGGCGGTCACGTACTGAAACCTGTCGTTAAACCTTTACTTGGCAAAAGGGAAATCGCGTTCTACGAAAGTCTACAAACGACACAAGACCCTGTCATGTTACAATTGAAGAATTATGTACCAAAATATTATGGCACGACAGAGTTGCAAATTTTCGGCAAACGTAAGATATCAAGAACACCGATTTTTGGCTTGATTTTAATTATTTTCTCACATTATTCTTGAAATATTCTTCTGCATGTTGTTAGGAGTATGCAAAAGTTTCAATCATTTGTATAGAAGATTTCTTTACTAACGCTTCAACCACCATAATGTTTATATATGTTTTGTTCTGGCTGTTCTCGAATCGTTTGCATACCCCTAATACTTAAAACGTACGTTACACAAACTCTGAAATTAATTGTTTGCATGAAACATCAGGAATTACATTCCTTACGCTGAAAGATATCATCCATGGTATGTCGGAACCATGCGTGATGGACATAAAAATAGGTAGACGAACTTGGGACCCTTTAGCTACGCCACAGAAAAGGGCGACGGAAGAATTAAAGTACGCAGAATCTAAATGCACCTACGGATTCTGCATAACTGGCTTTCACGTGTATTGTCTGTCTTCCGGACAATTAAAAAAGTTTGGCAAACATTATGGCAAAACTCTAGATGCCAAGGGTGTCGTGGAAGGTATATTATAGTCTTCAATCATATTTTAACAGCATATTCAGAACTACAGATTTCTGAGCTGTCGTTTGTTAATGTTACGCTGCTCAAAATACTTATGGGATCATTTATGCGGTAAAATTGAAAAGAATTCTAGTGTACGTTATAAACAAATGAATTGCGGAACACTTTAACAGATTTTGAATAGACTCGCTGTAGCAATATTCACAAAAAAACACCAGGCACTCACGAGGAACAAAGAATGTAGCACAATTTAAGTTTGCTTTTTGAAAATAAGAAATTTCTGGTAATTTTTACAAAAATAATATGTACTTGAGCTTTAATTATATAATTTTCACTTTAAAAAGCAGATAATAGTATTGTATTTCGTAAATATGTGACAAGATTGAAAGTGTTCGGAAGTCTAAAATGAGGTTAGGAAACACGAGTCTAATTTAGACAGAGTTTTGAAATATTATTTACTCTATACCTGAGAGGAATTTTATAGAAACTTCTTTTAGGCTCCTTCCTTTTTTTAATAGCAACTATGTTTCGATGATTCTTGTCTCGAAATAATTTCGAAGATCTCAGGACATTTCCAGCTTCTCTGGGCTCGCCAAGGACACGAGTAGACTTTATATCTAACCAAAAAAGTTAGCGAATTCGTGTTTATTAAGATTTAATTGAAAAATTCGATGTGTAGAACGTTTTGGAAAGTTTTGTGACGCTATTTCTTTAATACCTTCGTTAACGTGAGGTTACCAGCTCTCTACCTTCCGCCATTGTTGTAAGTCCTGGTGTTGAGCGCGCAACAGACGATAACAGTTTGTTTCCATAGCGAAACCGCGAGGCGGCAATTTTGAATGTAATAAGACGTACAAACTATAAAGTTTAATCGAGCTAATAATCCTTTAACTATTTTGAGCAGTGCACACTGCTATTCAACAGTTTGAAAACAGTCGTATTTTTTAATAGAGGACGATATGGCTTCGTTAATAAATTTAAAGTGACTTTATTGTATATTTTTGTTCTTGACTGATTTCAAACTTTTTAATGGTGGTGTATAACTAGGGGCGTGTAGCTATAAGTATACTCTAAAATTTCGAGTTAGATATGTTATTAGGATCATGTAATGTCGAGAATATTAAATTTCCAGTACTGTGCTCCGCTGACTTGAGTCCCGCGGAGGGCACAGGGGCAAGGGGAGTCTGACCGCCCAATTGTCTATCTCCCTTGCTCCCAGGCAGTCCATACGCGCGACCAATAGCAAACCAGTTACCCCCACTACTTTTCTCGCATTCCTGCCACGGGATTCAAAGTCAGCGGAGTGCAGTACGCGTCCCTAGTTAGGATCGAGATGTTACCGATGTTGACCGATAATAACGAAGCGGTGGAAACAATGCTTCCAGAACACAATAAATATCATGTCTCTTATCGAAATACTCCGAACGTCCCTTTTCTTTCCTGCGCAGCGCTGAAAATGTTCCTGAACATACGTCCAGAAAGACCGCCCTGTCGTCAATTGATTGTGCAGCTTCTCTCTTTCCTGTGGAAGATCTTACTATTCTTTCGTACCCAGCGGTTGTTCCGCTTTTATTCTAGTTCTCTGTTGGTGGCATATGACGCGAAAAGACTCAGGCATTACCTTCGTCTGAACAAAACGAGCGACAGAACGACCGGTCGACAGGCCAAGCCGTTCTCGTCCGCTCTGAGCGCACGTGCGACAGCGTCGAGCACGTTCAATGACGCGAGCGTCGCCGCGTGCAACGCGACACCTGCTGTCGCGGAAACGAACAGAAACCGGAGGGTACACTTCGTTAAACGGAGCATCAGCTTGAGCAGCGAATGCGACACGGCGGGAAAGGAGAAGACTTTGAACAGGAGCGGCTCGTGCAGTCCGGATTTCCGTGTGGACAGATTATGTCGTACTCATTCATACGCGAACAATTTCGACGACGATATCGTCAGGATGAAGGAGGACTACGACGCCCTGTTGAGCGAGCTCACCAGCTCACCGGAGGAGAAACAAAACTGGGTCAGGATCAATATGATCGATTTCACGCACGTCTTCCCCACGGAGGATCCAACCACTTTGGACGTTAATTACCTGGAGGGTATCGAGAACCTGATCAAACTGATCGAGATGTTCCTCGTGCCCAAGGACAACGCCTCGTAAACTGTAGTCGATGTTAAACGCGTTTAATTTTTAACGGAAACGTTTCGCGAAAGCTCGGAGTTAAATTATCGCCGATGAGCTTTTGGGGAACGTTTTGTGGCTCGCCACTGAGAACTATGTGTTAATTGCACCAGATGTAATATCCATAACATTCACGCGTTCCTCGGTGCACGTCATTCGTCACAATTTACGCCTTACTTGAAGACTGTACCCCATTGGTTTTAACGAAACGAGCATCGTTAGCCGTTCAAGAATTGTTGCAGCCACGTATCGTTTCTTATCTTACCGCAATTAAGGTTTACCCGTCGCACACACACCGAACGAGAGAAATTGTTATGTCAAATATGATTGAAAATAAAAAAAAAAATGGTTTACGTGAACACGTCTTCGTTCTTGTCCCCCTTGCAAACGAATTTATACACATATCATTGAATTTAATAAATTACAAAATTGCACAATATTTTGTAGCGTGATCTATATATATATATACTCAGTCTGAAAATTTTTTTTTTTGGATCGTTTGAAACTCTTCCAAAACTGTACCGGCCATTTTGCGACTGGACTGCGAATTTTATGAATTTACGAGAAACATGTACAAAATGTATATTATAAATAAATGCAATAAAAGTGACTTTTTTCCGTTTTGCACGACCACACGTTTTCTGCCTGTTAGAATTAGTTATATGGGGGGATCGTTTATGGATTTGCGGGCTTAATAAATTCATGACGATTATTAGCGAGTGAACGTTGGAAAGCCTTTGGCGGTATCGGTATCTAACGTAATTACTGCCAGCGCGATTAATGGCGAGGGGTTCTGTTAATCAACCCGCAAATCCGATTACCGGGGCTCAAATTGAATTACGCGTTCTGAATGGCACGAAAGTCCCCGCCAGAAATAGATCGAAAACTTTCTATCGAATCGAATATTAATTGCTGATAATAATTACGAATTCGTGAAATTGACCTGTAAATGTGTGGTTTGTTTCTTCGATCGAAAGTGAGTGCTCGTGAACGAGTGGAAAAATATGGAGACCGGTACCCCGGGAATTTATACGAGTGTCCTTTGTGTCGGTTTCGAGGGGGGGGGGCAAAAAAATGGCGGACGAGAATGGAAAAGCTGGTCAAAGGGGGCGATCGGGTACGAGAAAAACATTAATGAACACGCGTGTACATCTGCGTGGACACTTACGGGACCGTGTTGGAGCTCTCAATGCCGTTTGATATCTTTTTTACACGGAGAGCCAATGGACCATTTCGAGGACAGCCGCCATTACGTTCGATCGAATCGATCTTGCAATTACGGTGGAATTCTTAAGGAAATACATCGCAATAAAATTTAATGTCGACTTACTTTTTGATATAATTACAATTTTAATTGAAAAATTTGGTGTAAATTTCAATTTTCAATTTTTTAAATTTCAAACAAGTGTTAACATATAGGGTGTTTGATTAAGCTTGGGGAAAATTGTATTGGGAGATTCTAGGGGCCAAAATAGGGCGAAAATCAAGAATATCAATTTGCTGATGGAGGCTTTGTTAAAAAGTTATTAATATTTAAAGTTCTGCATGTATTGAATATTTTTCTCGGAAGTGGGCAGGATTTCGGGGGTATGTGTAATGACCGAAAATGATTGTAATTGACCCCTGAATCGAGCATAATTTTTTCAGAACGATTCGAAATTTTTCTTTTTCGTCGAAAAATTTAGGCTTCTCGAATTTTTTTCTCGAAAATGCGTAGGATTTCGGGGGTGTGTCTATTGACCAAAAGTAATTGTAATCGACCCCTGCAACTGAAAATAATTTTTTTGGAACGATTTGAAAAATTTTTTTTTCGCTAAAAAATGTCAGTATTCTCGAATTTTTTTCTCGAAAATGGTTAGGATTTCAAGGTTTTGTGTAATGACTAAAAATGATTGAAATTGACCTCTGCAATTGAAAATAATTTTTTTAGAACGATTTGAAAAATTTTTTTTTCCCCAAAAAATTTCAACATTCTCGAATTTTTTTCTCGAAAGTGGGTACGAATTCGCTGGTATGGCTATTCACCAAAAATGATTGTAATTGATCCCTGTAACTGAAAATAATTTTTTTAGAACGATTTGGAAAATTTTTTTTTCGCCAAAAAATTTCAACATTCTCGAATTTTTTTCTGGAAAATGTGTAGGATTTCGGGGGTATGCATAATGACCAAAAATAATTGTATTGGACCCCTGCAACTGAAAACAATTTTTCCAGAACGATTAGAAATGTTTGTAAATTTTAAGAATTTTCATTAAAATAAAAATTTGAGTAAACAATGTTTCGTTAAATCACGATTAAAAGTGCTTACAAAACTGTAAATCTACACTCAAAATATATCACTTAAACTTCTTTAGATACCTCAATAGACAAATAACTACAAACCTAATATTGTAACAAAAAAAAAGAGGATTGTCTCAATCTCTAAATACAATAATTCATATTTTACATATTTCTTATATATTTTTGCATATTGCATCTATCAAAATTTCCCAATAAATGCATAAAAATCGACGAGTGAAAATTGAATATAAACGAAACACCCTGTAGAGAAGAGTTACAGTTTCGCAAGCACGCAGCTTCCAACGAAGTGTCCGCCATTTCCGCGACGATATAAAGGATGCATTTAGAAGACCTTTCGCAACGCAACGTCGAGACAGTACGGCGCGTTTGAACGTAAATGAATCAGAATTAATCTGTTCGAACGATCTGGGGGCATTAAACACACAGAGAAAAATCACTGTCGATAAATAAGCGGTATTCGTTGACAACGAGTGTCTCGTCCGCTCCAAGCCCGCCAAATATGGCGGATGTGACGGAGGACGCGTAAAAAAATTGATTTCTCGTTCGATGAAACAAACGCAAGCGCGCCAGTAAAACGTTGCGTTAGTTTTTTCGAGCTCAGTTTCATCGTCCTCTTAAATTTACACGGAGAAATTATTTAAAAAATCCCCATCGACAAACATTTCCCAATTAAAATCAAAAAACAACGAAATCGAACGAAATTAAACGACTCTCGATTCGTTGTTTCAAACATTCATGACCATTATGCCAGGAAATAAACATCCGATTGATTTTTCTTTTTTTTAATAATATTAATGGGGCAGGTAATGCCCAATTACAAAACCAATAGGGAGGTAATATAAACAGTATACAATATAAATAATATACAAAGTAAGCAAATATAAACCTTACGTTAACAGTCATGAGACGAGCCTAACAGGAGTATTCGAAGGTTTAAATCAATTTTTTTTATTGGCTATTCGCATACTCGCAGTGTAATTTAAATTTTAGTGTTTTAAATTAATTTTTTTTAAATAATCTGCGCCCTTCGAAACATGTTTTACGTACTCCCATTGATCAGAATTTGCATGACCTTTTCAACGGTGGGACGTGTACCGTGTAAAAGTAGGGTGAGGAGTATTTATGTGCACGTTGTTTCATATTCTAGGAAGATAGTATGAAATTCCGGTGGGGGAGTGCCTGCCAGAATTTAACACCGCCTTTATTACGTCGTCGCTAAGCGACAACCATAAACAGTATCGTGTATTGACCGATGACCATCTTGTCTGACAGGCACGCGTGTATCGTTGTCGAGAATACACGAAACAGGGCCAAATAGACGCCATTTAATTTGTTTGATTCACCAGAATCCTCATTTTTAAAATTTAACTTGCCAGGAAGCGTAATTGTCACGTGATAAAGGCGATTGACAAAATTGCACAGGGATTGTTTTCCAGAAATTGTAATATTTAATACAATAGAACGGGGCCGACGAAACAAATAACAGCATATATATCACTTCCTTAGCGGTTAATTTCGTTCGTGATTGTTTACCAGGCGTATAAAAATGTTAAACGAGTATGCGTGGTGGAAAATGCTGGTGTTTGCGACGACGATAACATCTCATGACCAATAAGTTTTATTATAATCTCTTATAATCTGTATTTATATTTATCCTATAAATGTAGTTCCTTAATAAATAAAAATAAAAGCAGTGTTAACAATACGCGTCTCGTGAAAATATCCAACAGACTTCGAATAAAACGTCGATCCCCACGCACATAGCCATTAACATACATTTTCACAATCCAGTTTCAACGCTTTCCTCTTACCTATAGAATCGTTCATTTATATATTTACAAACGGATAGAAATGGATCATCAGATTCATCGAGTGTAGAACGATAACACTCGCGAACTCGTCTCGTGAAACAGTGGTGGAAATTGACCAACGAAGAAACGTAAATCGCCCAAAAGATCGGTAAAATGTTCTCTGCTCTTAACACTGAACCTAGCATTCCTACCATGATTAGTAGAAATTGCTGAAACTTCTTTGGGAAAGTAGGGTCAAAGTAAATGTTAAAAAAAGCATAGAAGACAGTGTAAATTATAAAAGTAGGTATACTCATTGGATAGAGGATGAAATGCCCTTTAAAATGAGCGGTCGTACGAGTCGATAGCGTAATTAGTTCCGGAGATATAGCGATTTTAGTTTTCCGGGAATGTTTGTTTACGTTCCATTGTTTACATCGTCGAGAGGTGAATGACCTTTAGCGCGCGACTCCCACTCGAGCACGAGAGAGAGAGAGAGAGAGGCTCGACGCGTCGCGTTAGACGGAGACAGAAATTAAAAAAATTACTTTTTACATAAATTGCGATATCTCGAAAACGGAAAGTCGGATCGACAAAAACCAAAAACCAATTTTGAAGAGGAAGGTTTACCGCTACTAACGGTGGTTGAATTTTGGATAAAGATTGAATAGTTTCGGAATTATGCGTAATCAAAGTTTTTAGTAATTTCAATACGCGTTAGCCGCGTGAAGCGCCATAGCGCGGAGCTTTTAAAAAATTACCTCTTCATATAAATTACGATATCTCCGAAACCGGAAGTCGGATCGTCAAAAACCAGCAGCCATTTTAAAGGGGAGGGTTCACCCCTTCTAACAGTGGTGGAATTTTGGATAAAGATTTAGTAGTTTTGGAACTGTACGAGTGTAAAGTTTTAGTGTTTTTAATACGCGTTGATAAGCAAAATTTTTGTAGAAATCTTTTGCAAATAAATTATAAATTGTTCCTCCAGTCGTGGTGAAAAAGAGACAGTAAGAAAAATTTATTTTAGATTAGTTTGAGGTTAGGTTTAGTGTTAAGAGCGAAAGTCTGAACGAATTTGCAGCATCAAAGAGGACGATAATCAGTCGAGAATGGAAAATAACGCGATTACGAAGCGAGTTTCGAGTTCCATTCTAAAACAATTGGCACGAACCAGCGAACGAAGAGGATTTCGTTCGTCATTCACCTCCATTTTCCATCGTGAGCGTGTTGCTTAGGCGGCTAGGCTAACATGCTCTTGCACGGTTATATACGCATAAAATTAGAGTGATAATTGTATTACGGTTTAATCGGTATCCTCATCGACAATGTTACTTTCTTCGCTGTTCTCAGCCGTTTTTTGCGTTCCCTTTTTAGGTCGACGTTAATTACTATGTATATGTGTTTTGTATATAATATATAAATACAGCACG